CTATATCTGTGTTTCGTTGTTCTGGTAGCATACCTCGCTGAAGACAACTTTTGAATCTGTTTTTGTCACTATGGTTTTAATTAATGCTCATGTTTTATCTATTTTTATTTTAACTTCAGCTCTGAAAGTTGAGGTGACCCACTGTGGACAGATGAAACGAAAATACCGAGTTTGTAATGTGACTAGACGACCAGCCAGTCATCAAACGTATGTTATAAAATAATGAGATTACATTTGTGGTAACAGAGGATGCTACTATAACCATCTGAGAATTTGGCATCTCATACTATAATTTTCAAAATCCTCAGAATTTTCACTTTTAACACCAAAGCTTTATACTACATTTTATATATATATGTGTGTGTGTGTGTGTGTGTGTGTGTGTGTGTGTGTTTTGAGACAGAGTTTCACTATGTCACCCTTGGTAGAGTGCCGTGGCATCACAGCTCACAGCAACATCCAACTCTTGGGCTTAAGCAATTCTCTTGCCTCAACCTCCCAAATAGCTGGGACTATAGGTCCCCGCCACAGTGCCTGGTTATTTTGTTGTTGTTGTAGTTGTCATCGTTGCTTAGCTGGCCTGGGCCAGGCTCAAACCCATGTGGCTGGTGCCTTAACCCCTATGCTATGGGCGCTGAGCCTGTTTTAAGTATCTTTGACAGAGATATTTATAAAACACATTCTTCCTACCTTTAATTCAATTCACCTCTTAAACACAGTATCCTAAACATAGATCAAATTTTATTTAAAGATGCAAAGTCGTTGTTATAAGCATCATGTATTGTACTGTTTAATTCTAAACACATGGCCCAGAGGATCTTTTAAGGCCTAGAAGTCCTATAAGGCTGTCACGGGAAGACATCCATCTTGCTTTGTGGTTTTGTGTGGCTGGCGTCTCTTCTCCAGCTGTCAGTGATATGGCAGGCTTGCAGCAACATACTCCTTGCCACTTCCCCAAGCTCATTTTTCCCCAATCACCCAGCTACTACTCCACTGAGTAATAGCCCTAAACCAGATAATATATATATGAGAGTGCTTTAAAAATTATCATACATGTGAGTTTTATTCTTGTAATCAAGATCACTAAACTCAAGTCTGACATGATCATAAGTATTGGTTTTTCTAAGTAAAGGGTTGTTAAATATACAATATAAACTTTTTATCATTTCGGTTACTCAGAGACTTTTTTCCCCCAGCTTATATTCTAGTATGACTATGTTTTAGATTCATGGTTCTTTTTCTTTCTTTCTTTCTTTCTTTTTTTTTTTTTTGGAGACAGAATGCCACAGCATTGCAGCAACTTCAAAATACTGGGCTTGAGCAATTCTCTTGCCTCAGCCTCCCAAGTAGCT